GCCGGGTATTACGTGTATGTACGTGCTATGCCCACTGTGAGTACTTGTTTGGTTGTTTTTATGCATAGATGGCAATACTTGTACTAAATCACCAATGAGTCAACTACGAGTACCGCCCGTCTCGCCCGTTTACCCGTTTCTTTGATTTACAAAATATTTTACATAATCTTATTTTGCTGTTACTAATGTTAAAAAACATTATAAAAATTATAATGTTTATGATTAAAAGTAACAGCCATCTATTGGCAGACATTTCACGAAAAATATAGAAAGTGGGCACAGCATTTTCCCCATTGGGTTAAATGCGAAAACCATCAGTCGAGCATTATCTCATGCTGGCCATGAACTCTGTTACCTTACCAGTCTATAATTGTGTAGTGCTAAACCTTTGCTTCAATACAGATATTGATCCTTTTGTGATTTGTCTTCTATTATGGAGAACAGAATCAGTAGTCGAAGTCCTTCGAAATTTCGATGTCATCATAATTGAAGCAGTCTTCCTTGTTTTCACACCAAGGTGCTGAAAAGAAAGTACGAGGCGTTAATATATAGGTTCGGGTGTCGCTACTACAGCAGCAAAGACACACACACACACACACAGATGGACAGAGATTGATATATATATATATATATATATATATATATATATATATATATATATATATATATATATATACATATATATATATATATATATATATATATATATATATATATATATATATATATACATATATATATATATATATATATATATATATATATATATATATATATATATATATATATATATATATATATATGTCCTTGCCATAATCGGATTCCAGCACTCCAGTGCAGAGCAACACGAACACCCTCCAAACTGCTTCCTCGGTCCGCAGCGTGAAGGCGACCTACCTGGCAAGCACGTTCCCTCGCACTCCCTGACGTGGTGCGGCCTCGCGCCCCCACACTCCTCGTCGGCCATCACCAGCACGGCGCGGGCGTCGTTCCTGAGGTCGTCGCCCTGCGCCTCGTCCTTCATCATCAGTACGCAGGTCACGCGACGGTACTGGACTCCCTTGCCGCAACTCTTGGAACATGTGCCCCAGTCTTCAACCTCGTATCTGGAAAGTTTTAAGTGTTGTTAGATATGATCTCTGCTTAATATCA